CAGGGGTGAGATGAAAATAGCCTTTTGCTATATCATGAGCCTAATAAGGAATATAAGAAGGAAAGTAGCTAAACAAACCAGTATGAATCTCTGCTGAGTTGAGATTTAGAAAGAAGGGTACCTACCTCTTCAAGCATAAATACTAGTATGTCACAGGCTTGGAGGACTGTGTCAGAGAGCTAATGTGGAAGATAACTTTTGGGTTTCAAATAATGTCTAAGTTGTGCAAAGTTAATTAGGAAAACAGAAATACAAATATGTAAGGGGCCTTTTCTCTGGGAAAGTGACATACTGTTTTATTGATAGATGGCAAAGGGAAACCACGCCTCATTAACTTTTATTTTGCTTCCAATTGACAATGTCAAGGAGAGTGATTTTAAAACTGAAGGTGGAGTGCGGAGTAGAACAAATAAGACACGTGAAGACAGTTCACAATGAATGAAGAAATCATGGGAAAGCATCTATCTGCTCTGGGCAAACTGTACCTTAGGAAATGGAGAGAACTTTTAATTATACCTCTGAGTCTCTATTGCTGACCTTAGAAAAAGCTTGGAGAATGTAAATGTTGCTTTTCTTAAAAAAAAGATGTGTATGTGTGTGCGTGCACACGTGCCAGTGCTTGCAAAGGAAATTCCAAATTTCAAAAATGTGGATTTCACAAACTGAAAATCCATGATCTTAATGTCATTTTGGGGCACGATCCTAGGATAGCATTCAAAAGAGGCGACTTTCCACCTCCTAGAAGAGGAAGTGAGGATCCTTAGAATTCTATGTGGGTCATATAAAAAATGACTGACCACATTTTCTTCATAGATTGACATGACTGTTAGATCAAGGAACACTGCTGAACACAAGCAAGCGCCAGGAGGAAATGAACAAGGGATGTTTAGCTTGGAGGGAAGAATGCTTAGGGAGACACAATGGCTGACATTAAGTATGAGAAGGACCATTCCATGGGAGAGGAATCAGGTATCTGTGGGCCTCTCAAAGGCCAATAGGATTACTGGGTCCTAGGATAAGATTCAGTGTAAGGAAGAGCTGTCTAATGTCTTACAGAATCCAAAAGTGGAACAGGGTGCTTGCCCAGAGAGTGGTTTCCCCATCTCTGCAAGTGTGCAAGCAGAAGCTGGTCAGTTACTTCTTGGGAAATGTTCTGGGAGAGATTAATGCATCATTGTGTGGCTGACTGTAAAGTCTCTTCTGATTTTGAGATTCTGTGATCCTAGGACAGTATAGGCGCAAATGGGAAGGACTAGGTTGGAGACACAGAAATTGTGTAGCTAACAGGGTGGAAGGAATTGGAAGGGGACAGAAGAAAGGTAAGCCTCTCAATTAAGAAAAGAAAGTCATGTAGTCATATAGTCTAGAAGAAGAATTCACCATCTTTTTAGCTCCAAAGGCGGCCTCATAGGCTTTTGGGGAGGCCATCAAGGACAGAAAATTTAAAATAGAATTTTAATGATGATCAGAAAAGAGGAGGACACTGTGCCATTTGGGTCTTTCCCCCAGCAGGGCCAAGGCACAGGACTGCTGGGGGTGGGGTGGGGGGTTCAAGGCACATGCTTGGAAGCAGGCCTAAGGCACAGGCCAGGAGAAAGTTAAAAAACAAAACCAAGAAAGGGGTGGAATACTGTAAGAGGGAGGAAAGATAAAGGCAAATTTATCAGGTACATTTATTGTGAGTGGGAAACTGCCTGGACTTCCAGGGGTCCGGGGACACCTCTTTCAGCTGGTTCTCAGGGGAGAAGAGAGTCCCCAATCAGGATTGAGGCTCTAACACTGGCTGTGCCCCAATTCCCTGAGTGACCTTGTAGATGTCATTTCACCTTCCTGCCTCCTCCTCACTGTCAAACACAGGCATGCTGTTAGCCTAAAAGTGCTCCGGGCTTTACAGAGGAGACAGCTCCAGAAATTTGTCTGCGTGTGTGCCGAAGGCTTGTGCTTGTTTCCATATTTTCACTGTTGGGGGAGGGAGCCCTGGTAAGAGGAGGGTAGAAAGAAAGGTGAGAAGACATTGGGGCCAAAGTCTCTTGGCACCACCTCAACGTCCTAGGGAGCCCAGGGGACCGGGATCTGGCCAAGGGCACATGCCCGCAGCCCCTGCCCAGCTGGGCATCCGAGATCCCCCCAGACACCCTCAGTTTCCGCGGCCCCTTCAGCAAATCCCACTGCAGCACCGAGGGAGGAAAAGTGAGGCACGCCCCTCCCCCACTAGATGGCACTGAAACGCCTCGTTGGCGATTTTCAAAATGCAGGGAGAAAAAAAGACAAAAAAAAAAAAGTGGAGGTGCGCTCATTTTGGCCTGCAGGCCCCATTTGTGCAAAGCAGGGTGCTGGACACTCTTTTTATCCGGGGGTCAGCTCTTTACGCAGCATTGCGGGCCCTCGACTTTGGAGTGAGGGTGACAATGAGGGGTGAGCATTAGAGTGAAAAATCTGGGGTTTCAGCCTGGGAGGGAGGCTCCCGGCCTTTGCAGAGCTGTCTCACGTGAGCGGGGCGGCGGAAGAAGCGGGGCCCACCCGCTCAAGGTCTGGGGTCCCCGCACTACCTCTCAGAGCCCCCGCAGAGCCTCAGTTCAGCCGCCACCCAGATAAGGGTCAATCCCGCACCCACGTTTCATTGAACCCCACGCCCCTCCTCAAAGCGCGAGCTCCCCAAGCGCTTTCAAAATATCTGTTAAGCACCTCCCCTCCCCAATTAAAATTCTCTTCTTCTGGTTTTGAAAGCACCAATTTTCTTTTTTTTTTCCCTTTTGAGGAGGGAGGTGGAAGTGTGTGTGTGTCGGGGCGTCTGGCGCTGGCGTGGGGCTGGCTGGTGGCGATAACCTCGCGGACGCGCTCAGCCCGGGCTGCAAACGCCAGACAGCGCCGGTGGCTTTCTGGGGAAAACAAAGATCAAACACCATCCGAGACACCAGCGACCCAAACCGGGGACGCAGCGAACTTCCTCAGCCTCCCGGAACGCAGGCTCCGCAATAAGCAGTCTTTTCTTTAAAGAACTGTGGCCGATTTGAGGGAATTTCCCACCACTGGAAAGAGATAAACAGGAGAGATGGAGGCAGCACCCCTAAATGTATAATTACGCACGCAGACACGCTACATGCCACATATATGTGTATGTGCATAAATATGGATGTGACTGGGCACATACCTACCTAGGCACCATTGACTTGCCTGGCCAAGGCATGAGGCGTGGGCATCTCGTGCCTGGGAAATGGTGCAGTTTATCTTTAAGGAGGCTAGAAAAATAAGAGATGAGGCTCACGTTGCACGGATGACATCACTAGCTTCTGGCCGCGCGCTCCGTGTTCTCGTCTGTGGGTTTTAGCCAAGGCTGCAGCGCCCCGCGCCCGAGCGAGGAATCGCGGCAGCGGCTGCCTCCGGCGCCCGCGCCCGGGCCAGGCGGTTTCCCGAGCCCAGCGGGC